GTCCCATATACATCTTTCTGTGTAAGTGATTGTTACTTTACCAAAACTCTGCCAAATTTATGATTTTGATGACTCCAGAACCTTGCATTACACACCAAGTATATTATTACACTGAATCCAAGTCCGCATTTAGGGTCCAAAATCAGCAGCATGATTGACAAACCATCAGCTTACAGTCCGTCATCTACATAATTTAGATGTGCGTCGTGTACAGGGACAACTTCTTTAGATGACGTCATATTTTGGCGATTTAAAAGGGGCGTTCCCAGGAAGGACAATTAGATATTTAATAATTTCCCCAAAATTGATAAATTTCATGGGAAAGAACTGCCAATTCGGATTGCCCTGTCCAACTACACAGGGAAAACAAAAAATCATGGTTTTTTTTTTTACTCCACCCACTTTGGATTGCCTTGTCCATCTAAAAAAAAATGTACAAATAAAAACAGGAAAAACAAGAAAGAAAAGAAAACCTTTTTTTCTTTCTTTCTAATTTCCACTCACTTTGTATTGCCTTGTACATCAATCTGGTCAGGCCTGTCCTTGTGTGCCATGTAGTCGATGACCGCAAGCAAATTCCTTGCCCAGTTTGCTGGGTAGCTGGATGGATAAGACAAACAATTGGTATTACCACTACCATGATGAATGAATAGTAAATGCTTTAGACAAATCTCAGACTCATTGGCCCGTAGTCACAAAGGAGGTTTGTAGGAGGTTTGTACAAACCATGGTTTGACGATGGTTTACATCTATGGAATGCTGCTCGCATACCGTAAATTGTAAATTAACATTGTTAACAAGTATGGAGTTTACATTCCTTCTCCATCAGTTTACAAATGGCATTCCATAGATGTAAACCTTGGCCAAACCATGGTTTGTACAAACCTCCTTTGTGAATACGAGCCATTCACTTCAGTTCTGGATTTGTGTTGTAAATTATTGACTCTTAATTAAAGGTAGTTACATTTCCCTGCTACAACCACTCCAACTTGACTTAACATCAGGTACCGACACAAGTACGATACAAAGTCTGCTGTTTCAAGACTCTGCATGCATCCAAAAGTGATTTCAGCATTTATATAGATGTCATTCATAATTTCTCATTAACTTTGCTATTTGCTTCAAAATATGATATTGTAACTGTAACCGTACTGTAATGATATGTTTCAACTTTTCCACAATCTTACTTCAAACATACAAAATGATACTAAAAATACTTACTCAAAGGAATACCGCTTGGAAGCATACATCAGTATATGGTTGTGGAAACACTCGAGCATGCTGGTGTGCCTAAGGAATTATGAAAACAAAATAAAAACTGATATAAATGATAGGGCATTTCATTATTTTCATACCACAAAATCAATATTGAAAATCCCATGTCATACACATGAGCAAATAAGATGCATTATCTTGACCTGCTGATATGTCCCAATTTTATAGGTCATAACCGAAAAAGAGCTCAATCTTGCAAACATGTACGTAATGAACGCATTCTCATTAAATTCCTCTCAATTTACAGAGCCTTTCGTACATGTATACAGAATCCTACCTGAAGCGAGCAAATCAGCAGAGTAGGCCAAGTTCTCCATGAATTTGCGGTCAAAGGTGACTTGTACTATTCACCTGCTAATTCCCCTACTGCTGCTTGGAATTTCTTCGCTGGGGATGGATTGTGTTGTCTGTTCTTCATATCTGTAAAAAGTGAAGAAACGAAAGTCATTCACAAAGTAAAAAACATTCAGATTTTAAATCACCAAAAGAAATTATTTTGAAGATGGCATTCTCTAATAATTATCACAGCTAGCCAGATTTGGAATTTGCATGACTAATAACTGATGCATTGGTTCTCTGTCATGTATGTGAAGTTGAGACACTCTTTGGTAGAGATAAATATAGATGAGACAGTCACATCTCAAGCAAGCTATAGTATAACCTTGTCGACTTTTAAAAAGAGCAGGATGTTTACCCGGTTGACTAGCCCTGCACGTCATCATTACAAAGAAAACTGCAGTTGTAACGAGGGACATTAAAGGTAGGGTCTATTACAAAGTTTTGGGAAATTTTGAAAATTGGGTGGATAGTGATTCTTTACAATTTTGATATATTTGGATGCCCCTGTGGAAGTATTATAAGCACTAGAAAATTTAGCTCCTAAAACACTTCTGCTTTCGAAAAAAATTGAATATAAAAATTTACCGGTGCTCCCGGTAAATTTTGATAAATTTAAAATAGCGCCTACGGTCGTACAACGGTAGCTGCTACCATAAAAATCCCGGAATATGTAGTTGTGATATATAATTTCAAAAAGGTAATAGCCAATCGGTCAATTGTAGCTTGTTGTATAGCTGAATTAATATATTGACCTTGAGAGAGAGTTATAGTATACCCCATAAAGAGATTATTATTTACAATTTCATCACTTTAGACTCGATTTCAACGCGACAACGTTCACTGAATATTGTAGGATCGCATATGCTTCCAATATTTTCATTTGAACCAAATTCATCCGGAGGTCTAGTGGAGCCAGACATAGTCTCAGTGGAACAACCGACGATATAGAGACTGAAGCTTTCGGTCTACTGTAGACCTAGGCTAGACTATCAATATCATATGATTCATGAAATCTGAATTAAAAATCCAAGGCAAGAGATAACAAAACGTAATTTCTTAAATTTGCCGATTCCATGCATCTAGTCTCTAGACTAGATCAAATTAAAACGGTAGGCCTACCCAATGCAGTGGGGCGTATATCATTTCAACTTACCTCTCAGTGAGCTGGCATGTCTATTGCATCCTCTAGACTCGGCAACGAGAAGGCCGCCTGCAGCTCGCGAAGTTTCTCCGCCGTACCCTGGCCTTGTTCACAGCCACTCCCGCGCCTCCTCTGGGCCGGATGGTCGAGCTGCCATTGCTTGTTTTTCTCCTTCCTCTTACCGTCTTACTTAGTCTTATTCCGATTTAGCGTAGCCTTAGCCTTGTCCTTAGGCTTAGCACTAGCTGAGTCCGAGTCGGCCATCGTCCGTGACCTCGAGCTCCTTTTCCAATCTCGATCTCGTTATCGTATTTCAATCAAAGCTTGTCTGTAGCTGTCTAGCGTTCGATCGGCGCCGGTGATAATCTGATATGAGCTGTGTGTGTTATACTTTACGTGAAAGCAGCGTATTGGAATTGATCAGCTGTACTGTATTACTAGCGCGCGGTCGGATACCCGCCTGCTAGCTACCTGTAGTACTGTACGTACCAACGAACTCAAACACTCGTTGTAAATACGCTGGTTGTTAAATGACATAGAGGGAGCTAAACACGTAAATTCAAAAAATAAACCGTCGAAAGTCAAAAGTGATGTCCGGACGTCAAACACTTTTATATAATGTTTTGAAAGCAAATGGCACAACAGTTAGAGCATTTGATTTGGAATTATTATCATCTCCCATGTTTTTTTCGATGATCTTTCATATGGTACTGAAATAAACCAAATTTGTTTTGGAGGGGCACTTTGGAAATTACCAATACTCAACTATACCTTTAATGTTAAAGGAAAATCAAAATAACAAAACCCACCATAATCTTGAGACCGTTCTGCTTGATTATTTAGTCTAAGAAAAAAAAAGTAGATCTAGGGTAAAGGATGGGGTAATTAACAAACAAAGCCCACCATAATCTTGAGACTGTTCTGCTTGATTATTTAGTCTAAGAAAAAAAAGAGTAGATCTAGAGTAAAGGAGGGGGTAATTGACCATCACTAGTTTTCGGCCGATCCGTTGGATGCATGGTAAAATCCCTTTAAAATACATCACATAACAGCATATCACAAATCCCACACATACCATACCATGCCAGAGTAACAGAAGAACCACATTTGCAATGGAAAATATATCCTAAAATATCACATTTTAGCGATGTAATCGGCGGTCCCGCTACCCGAATCTGAAAAATGAGTATCTTACGCGTGTCTGTAAGAAATATGGGTACCATAAAATGAGCTTTATTTCAAGTATTTTTCAGATTTAGAGTCCGATTTTGTGTTAGTCGCAAGCTCAAAAGTATCTCACCGCATGTATTAAATCAATGCAGCCGGACACCGCAACGCACACACGATATCTCTGTCTAATTCAGATTCCAATTTCCGCAGTACTAGTTTTCGGCCAGGTGAGCTCCGGGGAGCTCCGGCGTGGGATACCTGCTCTGCCCGCTAGTGCTATAGATCAGCAAGGAAACGCACGGCGCGCGCACGCGCTTCCTATTGACTTTGTACATGCGGCCGAAAACTGGTATGCTATGCCAATAACTGCCTACGAAACAGTGAAAATTGAAATGAATATTGTCATGGCAATTCGTAATTTTTTTCTGGGATTCTTTTTTTGTTTAAATAATAATAATATTTGCTTCATGATTTAAACAAGAATTGATAATAAATGGGAAGTAAAGGGTCCATAAAATAGGATTTTGTCTTAAGTGGCCGAAAACCCCCTCCTTTACTCTATAGTCTAGACATTTTTATGGCATGGCACTCTCTCATCATCTCAATTCAATGCCATTTTTTTCTTCAAACCACCATTTACAGGTTTCTCCTGGAACATTTATTTCATGCAAACTAAGAGAAGTGATCTTGTATGGTTATTCTCTCATTAGTTATTATGTAATTATTGACATTTTTATAAACAATCAAATTTTGAAGAAGAATTAAAAAAAAAAAATCAATTTCAAATTTAAAAACAGATCCATTAATCATCATCAATCACATTTCACATCATCATTTAGATTTACATTCCATAATTTTGACGACTTCCAATATAATAGAATCTCTTTCATTAATTTGGAATGGTCCATACAGATAACTGCTTTACGTGATCGAACAAATCGTAGTGAACATTTTCTCATCTCCAAAAATCCGGTTGCCCGGAGCAGAGGTTGAACAAGGGGATACACCAATTTAAATAGGTGGGACAACAGAGGACAATCTATGGACAGACTACAAGAAATTCGTATTTTCTTACCTCAATCCTTGCAAAATTTATCTGTATTTCTGATTTGATGAAACCTCCACAGGTAAGGAAGTCTTCAGCATGAACTAAGCTTGCCCCAAGGGCAAGAATAGCACAAAGGAAAGGGACGAATCGGGCAAGTAGAGTCATAATTGACGGTCATCCACGCTACACCGAAAGCTAGTCTTGTATAAATGTAGTTGAATATTTTGGGAAAAGAGCCATCCACACGATCTCACATTCTTAGAAATTAAAACAAGTCAATCAGTCAGTGTTTTTCAAAATTAACATTTAACATTTAACATTTAAAGTCAGAAAATGATTGTTTTATTCATTTTATTTTCGCTAAGTTAGAAGTAGATGTTGGAATGGTACCACACACTTTAATAGAAATAATAACTCCTGCCTTGATCTCGGGCTATACAAAAAAAAAAGTCTAACCCCCCCCCCCCCCCCATAAAAACCACTCGATCCTGGGACCACTCCCCCTTTTCTTATTATGTTTTATAGCTCTTCTCACCGTCTCTCTCTCTCTCTCTCTCTCTCTCTCTCTTTCTGAAGTTATGATATCATAATCATTTTTGTAATAATAACACATCTCAGACACGAATATGCAATCAGCTAAGCGGTATTTTTTTTAAAAATCACATATATATCGTCTGTTTGGAGCCAGAGAGTAATTTACTCGATATTATTATTACAGAGATTTTGGCTCCATAAAGACGATAATTAGCTACATGTAAAGGCTTTTATCAAGTTTGAACCTGGATCAAACTCTATAACTACCTCTAAACACATGCTTCCTGGTATCCATTTAACATTTCTTAATGATTTATTGAGGTACGCCATATTTGGGGCCTATTGATAAGATTAATATAATAAAAACAATTGTATAGCGCCTAATTTATAAAGCTGTCGATCTCCCACGTGGTTAGATTTGGAATCATGAGGATCGTATTGTCGGGGTTAATCTCACGGGGAGGGGTTGGTAAACATAAAACATACATTTTTTTTCCTTCATCTCAATAATTCCAGAAAAGACATGCAGATATAATTTTCTTGTAATTTACTTGTTATAGTAATTATAGTAAATTATCTGTTTTATATTATAATATTATTAACAAAAATAACAGTATGAAGGAACAAAAGAACAATTGTGTGTTGGGTGTATGATGGGCGCCGATGCCCCCCCCCCCACATACACACTGACCGCCATTCCCCGAATCAAAGGGTGCTCGTAGGGCTGCGATGCCAGGGTTCAAAATGTAACTTTCTGTCATAGCAGCGCGTATGGCGGGAATTACCCCCTTTGGACATCCCCCCCCCCTCCTCCCCCAACCCCACCCCCTAAACATATTATGAGAGTGTAATTCCTTTTTCATGAACAGGGGTATAATTTTCCCGGGGGGGGGGAGGAATGATCTTAGGGGTTATTTTCAGGGGTGGGGGTAATTTTCCACGAGGGGCAATAATATTGTCACGAAGGTAATTGTCCGGGGGGGGGGGGGGGGGGGGGAATGATTTTCCGGGGAGGTGATTGTCCTGATACTTTTCTTTTACATTGTGAATTCTACATTTTATTCTTTTTTCATTCACTCTTTCTTTAAATTTAAAACGTTGTGAGTACACACTCCTTTTATTCAACCTCTGCTTTCCTGTATGTACACCAGTATGTCAATTTCTCTTTATTGTATCCCTACCCCCCCCTCTTTCTCTCTTATTTTCGTTCTCTCTCTCTCTCTCTCTCTCTCTCTCTCGTATTCACTCCTTTGTTTCATTTCTCACGCTCATTCTTTTTTTGTTTATATTTAACAGGAATGTCAAAATATCCATCCTTTCTCAATCTTTTTCTCAGCATTCTAAACACATACATCAGCTTTTTGATATTTGCAAAAGATCTTAATTCAATTCAAATTTCACTTTGCTATATACATATAAAACAATATATATATTTCTCATTCACAGTCCATAAATGGTCTTACAATAGATTAGTCATATTGAATGATTTTTAAAACTGCAACCCTATAATTTGTGTACTTTGATTACAAGGATCATATCAATCAGTTGCAGATCCAGGGGCAGAAAAAGAGAAGCATGGGCTAATACCCCCCCCCCCCCAGCTTTATTTTTTGTTTTGACTTTTTGCTTGTCAGCGAATTTCGTACCTTAAACGGCACACAAAAATACTGTACCCCTCCCTTTCTTGTGCCCCTCTACCAGAGAATCTTAGATCTGCCATTCTGGATGACAGCAGAACAACATTTCCATTAACTTGGGTGTTAATGGTGTCAGTTGAAATAGACATGTTAAGTACATCATGCACACATTAGGATTTGACTTCATCATTTTTTTTACTTTTACAAATGCTATGAAAATGTAACAAAGAAAGAAACAACGCCAAATTACCAGACATCAGATAAGAGTTAAGAAACAATGATTTATGCAAACTAATTGAACTTGCTGAATAGCATTACAAGGGTCAAGTTTTCTTAAATGAAGTTTGACTTGAAGTGTATAATCAAGCGATTCAAGAATAATCTGTTTACATTACCACACCCGAAAAGAAGGGGAGAGGAAAGGGGTACAGTAAAATGACAAATGACATTCTGTCAGTTCGTCAGTTGCAATTTTTATTTCTGAAATTTTTACCTAGAAGGGCTGTCATTAACTTGCTAATCGCTTTGCTACACAATTTGACTTATCACAAGCATTTCGTAAACGGATGATTAATCGCTTGGCGATCTTTAGAGGATTGTGCTAATTTAATTTGATGAGGATAATATTCCAAATTTGAAAACAAGGACAAACTCTGATCAAATAAAAAATTCGTTATATAATCAATCAATAAATACCAACTAATAAACTAACAGATGGCACTATTTCACCATCGCTTGAAGCACTTGAAGCATCTCCCGTCTTACAGCTCGATCGGTTAGCAGGGGAAACCAAAGTAGTTAGATAAGATAAGATAAGATAAGATTCGTCTTTCTTTCAAATGTCACAAAGAGCATAAAATTAGATCAGTACACATTTACAATGCAAAAAATAAAAAATTATGCCAATGATAAAAACAAAGTTAACTAAAAGAAAGACGAGGAGACCCTGGTAAGAGCAGAGCTTGTAAGTTTTAGGGTCCCCTCTGGGCCAGATAGCCATGATGGGAGTACATTTGTGACTACCTAAGAATACAATAGGTAAAAGTGGTATAAGAAACAAGAAGTGTATACACAACAACAACCAACAACAAAAAAAAAAAAAAAAAAAAGAGAGACGAGACTACAAGACGGGAGAAAAGAGGAAATATGAGAAATAATAACAGACTACAGCACATCGACAATAGGCACAGCACACAACGGGCACAAGACATCAGGGGGGAATAAAAGGTTGACAATCTGAAAATATTCAGTTAGACACATATTAATATCAAGAAGAAATTTTACATTTATAGTAAGACATAATAGATATTTGCGCCGAACTAGTATTTATCGAGAAGATAAAGCTTAAGTGTACACTTAAATGAAGAGAGACTAACAGATTGTTTAACGCTATAAAGCCTAGAGAGTTCCAAAACCTAGGTCTAGTAAAAACCAAAGTACTAAAAGTAAACTTTGTCATAACTTGGGGTAAGTGAAACACAGAGTCAAAATCGTTTGAAGAAACAAATTGTTTCCTGTCAGCTAAGTAGCTCTTAAACCAGTCCAGAGCTGTGCCCCTGACACCATAATGCGATAATTTCCCTAGCAGAATTTCATGATCTATAGTATCAAATGCCTTGGAATAATTAAGAAATATACCGATTGTGTGCATCTTTTTGTCTATTGCTTGTGAAATCGTATCTATAAAGTGCAGCAAGGCATGAAAGGTTGTACGTTTCTATCGAAACCCAAACTGAAAGTTTGAGAATATTTTACTTCAGTTAAAAACTATAAAGTTCTAACATAAATCACTTTATGAAGGATCTTTGAGGATGAGGTTAAAAGGAAATAGGACGGTAATTTGAGAAAGATTGAGGATCTCCCTTTTTAAAAACGGGTACGACTTTTGCAATTGTCATGTTTTCAGGGACTATTCCATTTAACATTGATGAGTTAAAAAGATGAATAAGGGGTTGAATAATCATTCACCATCGTGACCAGGACTTTCCCAGCCTTAAGCGAATTCTCAATAGTAAGCAACTCTTCCCTAACTAATGGGAAAAGGAATAAGCTTTTCTTGTTAGATTCTTTCAGGAAATCGTTAAAAGATTTTTGACAGGAAGGGACCGCCAGTGACAGATTACGACCAATACTGCAAAAATGATCATTGAATTTTTCCACAATACTATTCTTATCTTCCACTAAATCAGAAGTTTTTTCTTTGACTTGAACACATTTTTTATCACTTTCCAAGTTTCCTTGATATCGTTTGAAGTTGCTTGAAACTGAGCAAAATAATATGTTTTCTTTGCTGCACGCAAGACTGAAGTAAGGGTGTTTTTATAATAAACATATCGTTTACGTGATGATTCTCTTCCACTCACTTTATAATAATAATACAACTTGTTCTTCTTATTGATAGACTTCAACAAGGAAGCACTGACCCATGGCATGCGTTGAATTTTCTTACAATTTCTAGTATTACATTTGGAAATCGGAACAATTTTATCATATAGAGTAGCAAAAACTTTTAAAAGAAATTGTTAAATGAAATTTTAACATCCTTTTTCAAGTAAAACTGTACTCCAGTCAGTTGCCGTTAGAGCTTCTCGAAACTTCTCAATGTAAGAAGGGTTGTCTTTATGAATGCATTTACATTCATGATTATAAGCAGTAAAATGAAAGTATAATAATGAGATGCTGGTCTACTGTTCTGTTGATGTTCAGAGCTAAGCAATGTCTGCATCGCAAGTTATTAATTTCTTGGTATAGCCACCACTTGTGTTCTTTATGTCTGTAAAGGTCCTCCCTTTTTGGCTAAAGAAGCGCCCACTAGCTGCGGCGGAAATTTGCAAAATTTATAAATCTATATCAATGTTTGGTAAACACACATTCAAAATGCTACTTGGTAGGTTGCTCGAAAGTTCCAATTGTCGATATATAAGATTATAAAGGTCAACTATGGAAAACAAAGTTAATAGACAAGGAAATTGCAAGGGATACATCCATAAATGTAGATAACTAGTGAACAAGAGGAAGATAATTGTGTTCGAACATGGAAAATTGCGATGCCTAAAAAAAAGAAAAAACTAACTATCAAGTCGAGTAACCAGTCCAGATGGTGAATACAGGCATTGCTGCCAGTTCTTATCGAAGCTCTTGAATGTTCACTCTTTCAGACAAAAGCCACTGGATCGGAAAACTTGTAGCCAACTAGGATTGCGGTTAAATCTCATTCCTTTCTCGGGCTCCCGGGATTAATTTCTCCTTCAATTACGCAATTTTTATGGATCACTGAAGGACACAAAATCAGGACCTTTGAGATTGTCAAACTGCTTTTACAGATACCCAGTACTTAATCACTTACGAGTAAAGTATCAGCTGACTTCATTTTTTTTAAAATTTTGGGGATGACATTTCATAGAAATCTGTTCATCCTCAACTTTTTGAATTGCATTGAGTTTTTTCCATCTATTTTCTCGTCTGTTTTCACAAGTTGGTTTATATTGTGGTTTGTTTTGGGCCTTATTCAGTTTGTGTACATGAATTGAACTTGAATTTCAACTAAAAAAGTAATATCATTCATAGTTCTTTTGAAGTGGCTGCCCCAACTCTCTGGAATTCGCTCCCTCTGCATGTCCGTCAAGCTCCCACACGACAGACTTTCTAAAAACCTTCTTAAAACTTACCTGTTTCGTTTGTAAATTTTGACATTACATTTCATCTATGTATTATTGAATATGTTACTCTAATTGATTTGTCATAAGCATTTTCTAGCTATATTAACTCTGCTCGCAATGAATTCTCTTAGCTACATGTCTTTAGTTTAAGGTCTTTATATTTCGTTCTTAATTTGTAACTATTTAAATAAACTTGTACATGCTTTTTTTTTTTTTACTTTGTTAAGCGCATAGAGAAACTTCGGTTTATTATGCGCTCAATGAATCTATCTTTATTATTATTATATTATATATCTGAATTGAGGTCACGATGGAATTATTTAGTGGGTGTTACCAATAAGGCGGTGATACACACAGTTATGTTATCTGAGAAAGCAACTACAATTACTGTATGACAACCATGCATGGTCGGTCTGTGCAGGAGAAATAGACGCTCCTGCAAGAAGTCAAAACAATGTTGCTCTCTTTATTTAGAATATATGTAATCCGTCAACCCCAGTTCAATCCCAATTCAATTCACTGTTTTATTTTTCCAATCACAATTACAAATACAATTCGTGTACAATCACATAATAGATAAAGAAAAAAAGGAGAAAAAAAAAAAGCAGTATAGCTTGTGGTTAAAAAAATTCCCTCAGTATATTATCATAATTAAAATGTGTACATAAATGAAAGGTAAAAAAATATTCAAAAATTACACTTACACTACATACAAAACTGACAAATCACCAATGATAAACTACCACACACATCCAGAAATTTTGCGCTGGTGACCATGCACTTATTCTTTGCGTATCACTTCCTTGTTAACATGTTATTCATAATGATAATGTATCAGTGACTCAACTCATTATTACGTCTTTCATGTTTGCTACCAAAACTGTCATATCATCATGACTTCACAAATTGTAAAGTGCTACAATCTGTTAAGTTTTCAACTATTTATAGATTCAAGGCAAATTACAGGCTTTCAAAGTTTTGCACTGGTGACCATGCACTTATTCTTTACGTACCACTTCCTTGTTAACATGTTATTCATAATGTTAATGTATCAGTGACCCAACTCATTATTACGTCTTTAATTTTTGCTACCAAAACTACCATATCATCATGACTTCATATTGAATTGAATTGAATTGAATTTATTTATTCACCACCATTGAAAACATTGAAACAAAAGATAAATGTACAATGACAATGTCAATATAACATAAATGCATGACATGAATTATAAAAAAATACATGTTCTACAGCGATATACATGTACATTATGACAAAGATAAAGTAAACTTTGCTTCAAGAGTAAAACAATAAATGACTATTTACAATGAGTTTGTGATCGATGGTAAAATAGAGTCAAAAATAGCACATGTGCTAGTCGAGTCTGACTCTCGTTATCTAAAGCCTAAAATAAAGTTAATTTAAAAATATATGATGGGTTTCCAAATCTTATAAATAATTTTGTGTATAATATTAAAATGAGACTGGTTACTATATACAACTATATAGTTACGAGGTTATGATTCGTGGTTTTCACTTAAGAGTAATTTTGTAAGTTTTTTACGAAAAGAGGTTCTTGATCTCTCAATTCTTAGATCAGTAGGAAGCATATTCCAAAAATTACTTCCAACAAACGAAACAGAAAACTTTCCTTGGTCTGTTTTGAATAAAGGAAGACGTAATTGTTGACCCGTTTTTTGTCTTGTGGAATATTCATGTTGTATCATACTGCAATAATGTTTTAAGGAATGAGGTAATCGTTCATTTATCATTTATTGTGATATATAGTGTTACAATCCTTTTCATTCCTGAATGTGCCCGGTGAATATGTTTGGACTTTGGAAAATTAAATCATGATGACACTTTACCTTTTCAATACATGGATTTGTCTATGTTTAAATTGACCACATGTTGTTCTTCAAATTGGCAACGATCTTTTTTTTTCTTTCAATGTTACATTGTTCTAACAAAATCACATTAAGAAAACTTTATATCGTACAATGCACAGGGGTAGAAATGTTGTCGAAAAGTTTAAAAATTGCCAATTTTGATCGAAAACGAATAATTATGATCCTCGTAACGTGTTGCAAATTAAACGACTTTAAGCATCTCGTATATTTCCATGGCTCTGAATAAAAAGTTAGAGAGCAAACGGGGAATGATTGTCCCGAAAGAAATAAGGATGAAACTTAAAGGTCACGCGATATGTTTAACGGCAGTTCACGTCAAATGCGTGAGTGTGCTTTTAATGTGTCCACTACTACGCACTAATGAGTCTGTGGAATAAACCAATCGCACCAAGTCCGAAAGGCGTTGGCTTTGTGCGCATGCGTCGTCCTAATATCTTCAAACCGGAACTCAAACTCACACATCAGACTTCAATTTTCGGTTGACCAAGAACTGTGTAACTGTGCAAAGAAGCTACATTCTGCAATTTGGTACAAATCTGTATTTTTTTTCGAACAGCATGGGGGTGACCGGTTTGAATCGAATCCATCTATTATTTATGTGTACTGCTGTCTCTTGCTGGTACCCGGTGGCTGCACCAGAAATCACAGGTAAGAAATTCTGTAATTCCAAAGGATTGCAATATCAATCGGACTTCTTTCTGATGATTTCGTTGGAATAAATATCATGTCTCGTTTAGTTTGAAACTACAAATATGAACTACCAATTTGCGTACCATCTACATCACGCATATGGATCTAAAGTTATAATACATGATTTAAATAAATATTTTCGCGGCTAAGGATGAAGCAAAACATCTTAGTGGTGGAATGGGAGACCAATCTACCAATACGTACAATTCATCATTTGGTAATTTTGTGAAATAGCCAAAATGTCACATTTCTTATCATGATAAAATGGTGCTACATGTAAAATTAGACTGAAGATTTGTTCAAGAGAACCTGTTATGCTGTCGCTTTACATCAATAGCTAAAATATCTTCCCTTAAACAACAAAATAGCAATTACCATTTTGATTTCACTGATATTCTATACCTTGATTTATACAACGTTTTGAAGTTGTTTCAGCTTTTTCTTAAGATTGTATTAACTTTTTTCGATTTGTGATTATTTATACGTCATAATATGTACTCCGAGGCCAAGGAGTGAGGACAGATAACGGTGTTTAAAAGGCGGACGGTGACCTCGGGCTAATCTTTGAGGAGCTTTGAGACGAGGTGAAGCCTTGAACACTCCGTGATCATTTAAAATGGAGCTTGCGTGACATCACTGTATCATATGGGGGGGAAAATCGTCTATTGTTTGTCCTATTGTTCTTTTTAAAGGCGTAAATTGGCCTTCAAAAAGTCCGAAAGATCTTTTCAAAATATAAGTTTTAAATGCTACTTCTACAGAGAGATATTGCAGCTTAAATATACTTCCGGTAAATATATATCGAGACGACTTATTGAGTGCGCTAGTCAATGTACGTGAATGCGCTCGACTAGAGTAGAGTGCGTAGATATTACTTGTCTTCTTTAGAAAATATGTTCTTTTATATTATTATTTTAAAGTACATATTTAATTTAATCTTGCCAGCTCAAACTCTAATGTGTTAACTCACCGGAAAATGGCCATTTTATTTCTCTCAATTTATTCGGGTCTTTTTTACCACTTAAGATATATGTTAATAGTCTACCTGAATGTACCGTCAGTGCAAATGATGCAACTGTTGTGGAAGAAAAATTAACTGTTGCATTAAACAGAGTCATGGCATGGATTAAGGAAAATCGTCTTGTTCTTAACACTGAAAAAACTTGTGTCATGTTAATAGGCTCTCCTGCTAATCTCAAGAAAATTGAATCTTTCACCATTAAACGGCAATTTGATCAAAAGAGTTCAATTCACCAAATGCTTAGGACTTTTGATAGATGAAGAATTGAAATGGTCTAAACAAATCGAAAACGTAATTAAACTTACCCAGAAAAACATTAGCATGATAAAGAGAGCAAAGAGTTTTTTGCCTCAAAAATCCTTAAAGTTACTTTATAATAGTCTAGTGTTGCCACGATTAGATTACTGCTCTGTTGTATGGTCGAACAGATTTCAATCTCATACAACTAAGCTGCAAAAAATTCAAAAGAGGGCCGCAAGAATAATATTGAACAAGACATATGACACACCGTCTGCTGATTTGTTCACAAGTCTGAAATGGATGACACTAGACAAGCGGTTTGAGTTAAGTCGCGTTATGATGACATATAAATGCGTTCATAACTTAGCACCTTCTTACCTTCAGGTAGGCTTAATCAATCCTAATGATGTGCATGAGCATCATACAAGGCAAATAGACAGTGGATGTTTACGTGTGCCTAGATTTCACACTGATTGTTATAAGTGTAGCCCAATTATTTCTTCCATATTTGAATGGAATAAGCTAGATAATTCGTTGAGAACGGCTTCCTCTGTCAATTCATTTAAGAGATTGTTTAAACAAAGTTGTAATTTGTGAAAGGCTCAGCCGAACATACACTACGTGCATGTTCTGTAATATTAACATGTCTTATTCACATAACTGCGACTTAATTAATATTTTCATATTAACATTACTGTTTACTAGGTTAAGGATGTATGTTTATTTTGCAAACTAGTACTATTTTTGTAACTGTTCTGTATAAATGTTATAAACGATGTAAATATGTTCATTCAGGGCCCCATGGAAGACCACTACTTGTTGGTGAATGGGCTACCCTGTCAAAAGATTAGAAATAAATAAATAAATAAATAAATAAATATCTTCCCATAAAATATTCCTTACAGACACGAGATGGAAAGGAAAGTAGCTTGATTGATTCTTAGTATCGAAACCAGTAACCTAACAAAACTTTATGATTATTAATTTTGTATGGAGGATAGAGTCATGTCATATAACAGGAGTAATTATGTATGAATCTTGACACATATTGTTAACCAACGAAACCTGAACAAAAGAAGAAACTTGAATACTCTCTTGAACATTCATTGTAAATAAAGAAAAACATTCGCGTTGGTGTTTGGTTTGAGTGCTTAGAGTACTTTATTAAGAGGATGGTGTATCAGTATCAGGCACTTTAAAATATTTTCTCAAATGGACAGACACTCATCCTTTTCAGTGTCGTTAAAGTCAGACAATTTTATCAATAATATCTAAGTATGGATCTTTAAATTCTTTTGAAGTTTGTGTCAATTGATAAAAAACATTAGACCCAGGTACATCATGAAACTTTCTTAATGTCATCGTTTTATTCAGAAACATTTGAAATTACATATCGTGTTTGGAGATTTTTATTTTTAAGGTTCGTAATATATTTATGATAAAAAACAGGTCTATACTTCTCATGTTTTCCTTCATATTTTGCATTCTCTTTATTATGATTGGATGTTATATAAGAATTATGAAGAATATTTTAATATTTTAATTGATTATAGTGAAGAAGGGATTATGTTGTTAGTTGATACTCCTATCATAAGAATGATTATGTGACTTTCTTAGTGCGTCGTAAAGAAAATATTCTGAATAACATTCTTTGACACGTGGATCGCATATTATTCCAGAACATCACCCCCCCCCCATCAAAATACAGTTCACCTATAACATTAATCACATCAATATTCATATCTTGTCGAAAGTCTACGATCATTGTGACAAAATACAAATGTCATGTTCACTATTACATTACAGAGTGTAAAGCCTTGACGTTTGGACATCAAAAATAGTAAAGTTTTGAGAAGGATTTGCCCGCCCTCCACACACAAAAAACACCACTTTGGATGCTTCTCCCACATTCATACTTTTTCTCGCATCAATATTCACTGAGAGGGAGAAATAAGAAAGTACGCCACATTTATAATCAATTGTGTTCAAGCAAACCACACAATTATTACTACACAATTGGTTAATAATTGAGTTGTTATTCTCGAAACCAATATGGATTGATGATCGAAACCGGTCACGGGATATGGGAAGTAGTACTTTTTTTTATTTTAAGAGGTTTTGGTTTTAATAGAATAGCCACAAGTGTCATTAAAGCAAGTTTCATCAGTAATCTATCATGTCTTACAATCGTGTCACAAACTCTCTTAAATTATGTTAGTCTATAAGGGAGAAACATTTTGTTGCCGTTGATGCTAGTTTGTGTTATATCGTAATCTGCACCGGCAAATTTATGGAATTTAAGTATAAAATATAATCAATTGCCCACCGTTATATATTTTGTCAATGGTTATCCCATTTTCCAATTTTTCTACGAATAATTGTTGTGGTAACACCAACAATTTCTCAAAACGTAAGATTTGATTTTTTTCTTCTTCTCAATTTGACAAGCTTTTTTTTTGGTCCATAGTTCATTGATTTCTTTTATTTGTATGTTTCTCATCCTTTAATGATTATTTAGTTCATACAGGCTTTTGTCTTAGAACAAATTTGATCATACAGGGCATACTGCATTAAATTATAATCTCTTAAAATCAAATAGCACGAATAGTTCAAGCGAGTTCAACGCACAAAACGGTTACAGATATTAACATGTCAACTCTGCATTATCTACAAAAGTATACTGTAATATAGACTAATGTCATATGAATACTTTTAAAAACAAAAATAGTTATGTTACCCTGCTTCCTAGATTGGTTTTAAAAAAAGATTTAATTTGTAATATTACGAAGAGAGAATAGTGATAGAAAGTAGACATGTCAATGAAAGTATCTACCACTTATCGAAAGAGGCCATAAATGTCAGTAAGGTGAGTTATAGATGAGTTACTCTCACGAATGTTTTCGCACTGATCGAAACATAGATATGCCATCAATCAGTCTTCTTCAATATGTATTTTTCACACTCAGAGAAGTTTTGCTTTAGTACAAAAATCGTGAAAGTATAGGATAGGATATATCAGTCATTAAATATAACAATACTTTTTCTCTCTGGTTTGTTGTTATATTATAGGATTAAACAGACTAACTATGTTTTCATTTTAAGCATTAGTTGTGAATATGAGCATTAAAGACATGAAAATTGTACTAACTTTTAGATATTTTCACACCCTTTAGGAGTCTAGCTTTTACCAATAAGAATACCAAAAAGAGAAATTGTTAATCAAGATGCCAACTTCAAATTTACATTACGTAATGTAGATCACGTATTACTGTACCCAAACAATAATATTCAGTATTCCAAATTGCCTTCTGTATTTTGGAATAAGATTTCGAAATAAAATACCGTTGCAAGTGCAGCTTATAATCAAATCACAATAAAAAAAATATCCGAAGTGTGCCCTTTTACAGAGTACAGTCAAACCTGAGTTAACGACCACCTGTTTGTAACGACCACTTAACCCCCCCCCCCCTCGTTAGATTCCATGTACATGTGTACCTCCTTTCAGTGGAGGGGCAGTAGTATAACGATGTAGTTTAAGGGAGCAGCACTTTGCAATACCCCGGTTTCCACGTTAAGCGATGATTCGCGCGATAGTAGCCTACTGGGGGGGGGGGGGGGTGGGAATTCTTCAAGGATTCACTTGAAGAAAGAAAATAAATACTTTTTCTTACTGAGCAAATCTATTTTTTTTTTTACAAACATGAGAGTATGAGTATGGTAGCCAACGTTAATTTAGGAAAATGTGAGTGATCTCTTATTTACATATAAATATTATACTTGTATGAACTGCGTTTATAACTTGTAATTTACACCTATGCGTCGTCAACAATTGATACAAGCTATAACGATCACTATACCTATAACTGTTTTAACTATAACTATAACTATGGCTATAAATATATCTATAACTGTAACTATACATTTAACTATGACTAGGCCTATGACCGTGAGTCTGACGAAATTATATGACGAAAACTATAAAAACTATGACTATAACTGTTACTATAACTGTAACTAAGCTATAACTGATGTCCTGATGTCATTATCATCATTCTTGTTATTCTTCCTCGAAGAGGTACGCCTCGAAGATGGCTCCAGCGAAGCTGAAGGAAGAGTGGAGGTCTTGTACGATGGATCATGGGGAACAGTTTGTAGTCTTTCCGGTTGGAATCTGTTAGCAGCAAGGGTGGTCTGCAGAATGCTGGGGTACGACGGAGCGTTGGAAGCACCTGGTTCGGCTAGGTTTGGGCAGGGCACCGGTGATATTCTGTATGTCAGTTGTACAGGAACAGAAGACAGCCTGGCAGATTGCTATCTAGATCTTGAGTATGGTGCTTCATACTGCAAACATGACGAAGATGTGGGCGCCGTATGTTACTCAGGAGATAAAAGTTGTTTATCTAAGCCCAAGTGCGAGTAGGATCGGTCATATTGTAATATTCCGTTTCCATTGAATGTTTTTCAATATAAAGGAGTCTGTCACAATCCTTTATGATCCCTTTCGCTGTCATGTCAAAGAAACTGTAACTATAAATATGGTTATAACTATGAGTATAACTGTAACTATAACTATGACTATATATGATCGTGACTCTGACGAAAACTATACAACTATGACTATGACTATAACTATTACTATAACTGTAACTAAGCTATAACTGATGTCCCGATGCCATTGTCATTCGTTTTATTCTTCTATAAAGATGTAAAACTCGTCAATGGATCCAACGAAGCTGAAGGAAGAGTGGAGGTCTTGTACGATGGATCATGGGGAACAGTTTGTAGTTTTTCCGGTTGGAATCTGTTAGCTGCAAGGGTGGTCTGCAAAATGCTGGGGTACGACGGAGCGTTGGAAGCACCTGGTTCGGCTAGGTTTGGGCAGGGAACCGGTGATATTCTATACGTCAGTTGTGCGGGAACAGAAGACAGCCTGGCAGGTTGCTATCTAGATCTTGAGTATGGTGCTTCATACTGCAAACATAGCAAGGATGTGGGCGCCGTATGTTACTCAGGAGATAGAAGTTGTTTATCTAAGCCGCAAGTACGAGTAGGATCGGTCATATTGTAATATTCCGTTTCCATTAAATGTTTTTTTTTCAATATAAGGGATTCTTTCATAATTCGTTATGATCCCTTGCGCTGTCATGTCAAAGAAACTGTAACTATAATTATGGCTATAACTATAACTGTAACTATAACTATGACTATATATGACGGTGACTCTGACGAAAAATATAAAACTATGACTATAGCTATGACCAAAACTATGACTATAACTATGACTATAACTATTACTACAACTGTAAGTAAGCTATAACTGATGTCATTATAATTCTTGTAATTCTTCCACCAAGATGTAAAACTCGTCAATGGATCCAGCGAAGCTAAAGGAAGAGTGGAGGTCTTGTACGATGGATCATGGGGAACAGTTTGTAGTCTTTCCGGTTGGAATCTGTTAGCAGCAAGGGTGGTCTGCAGAATACTGGGGTTCGACGGAGCGTTGGAAGCACCTGGTTCGGCTAGGTTTGGGCAGGGAACCGGTGATATTCTGTATGTCAGTTGTACAGGAACAGAAGACAGCCTGGCAGGTTGCTATCTAGATCTTGAGTATGGTGCTTCATACTGCAGACATAGCAAGGATGTGGGCGCCGTGTGTTACTCAGGAGATAGAAGTTGTTTATCTAAGCCGCATGTACGAGTTGGATCGGTCATATTGTAATATTCCGTTTGCATTGAATGTTTTTCAATATAAAGGAGTCTTTCATAATTCTTTATGATCCCTTGCGCTGTCATGTCAAAGAAACTGTAACTATAAATATGGTTATAACTATAACTATAACTATGACTATGACTATATATGACCGTGACTTTGACGAAAACTATAAAACTATGACTATAACTATAACTATTGCTATAACTGTAACTCAGCTATAATCAATGCCATTATAATTCTTGTAATTCTTCCACCAAGATGTAAAACTCGTCAATGGATCCAGCGAAGCTGAAGGAAGAGTGGAGGTCTTGTACGATGGATCATGGGGAACAGTTTGTAGTCTTTCCGGTTGGAATCTGTTAGCTGCAAGGGTGGTCTGCAGAATACTGGGGTACGACGGAGCGTTGGAAGCACCTGGTTCGGCTAGGTTTGGGCAGGGAACCAGTGATATTCTGTACGTCAGTTGTGAAGGAACAGAAGACAGCCTGGCAGGTTGCTATCTAAATCTTGAGTATGGTGCTTCATACTGCAGACATAGCGAGGATGTGGGCGCCGTGTGTTACTCAGGAGATAGAAGTTGTTTATCTAAGCCACAAGTACGAATAGGATCGGTCATATTGTTTTATTTCCCTTTTCCATTGAATGTTTATCAATATAAGGGAGTTTTTCATAATCCTTTATGATCACTTGCGCTGTGATGTCAAATTATTAAGTTAATTATGGACAATCACATCTAAAATCCATTCTTGTACAGTGCATATTAATAACAATCATTTTGTATTAATTTTTTGGCGTTACCTGTGCATGTCCTGGGTTCGAACCCCAGCCGGGTCATACCAAAAGACGTTAAAAGACGGGAGTTGCTGCGACCTTGTTTGGCGTTCAACAATAAGGAATAAAGCAACGTCGATCTGGCGCTGCTCAGTGGTTGCCGGGCTCACGATCAATTGGGCAAAAAGAAATTCCATTTTCGGTTTAATTTAATAAAATTTGGAGTGGACTTTAAAAGATTAATATTATTATTATTATCAATATTAATGTGATGCAAAATGTAAACTGAATCACTGTTACCCTCGGGTCATAATCAACTTCTCTATGTGCTTCATACAGGTATGGAAGACGGTCTAGCAGTGTGTCTTTAGGCCCGTCAATATTCTACGAACACATAACAAGGATACTGAGAAAGACGGCATGCCGTGCTATTTGTATTTCCAAAGGACCTCGCTTCTACATGGTAGGTTTAGGGCTATGTTAAGTAATGAAATATATACTATGGTAAGTGTTTTGTGGCATAAAGGGCTGATGGAAAGGAGAGTGATGTTTTTAAATTTACGATTTAATTCAATTTAATTCAAATGTTATTGTCAAATGATTGGAAATTTGTTTCGTTTGCATGTCAGTACAGATTACAGATTATACACATCAATAAGATACACATGGATACAGAAAAGCATAGTTGACTTGAACATAATTATAGGTAACACAAAATATGATAGTTCAACATGCAGACTAAAATTCGATTCATAATTCAGACTAAATAATTAAATTAAATTCATAATTCGGATTAAATTAAATTCATAATTCGGATTAAATTAAATTCATAATTCGGATTAAATTCAATTCACAATCGAGATTACATTCAATTTATGATTCAGACCTATTCAATTCATAATTCAGATCAAGTCCAATTGTAAAATACCTATCTTTTCCCATCGACGCAATGCTAACCAATCAAAAAACAAGAATTAACGCAGCCGTTCTGTTAACTTACACGTTTATATCTCATCGGCACACCTTGACAAACAAATTATCTGAATTAACAAACGCAACAATTAAAAAAAAAAAAAAAAAAAAAAAAAAAAAATCGATATTATTACCATTAAGCTGTTTATGCAATGATCTTTTTTAGCGAACAGTAATGGCTCCGTAGCGTAGCCTTTGCCTGCCATAAAATATAACGTAGAAGTCTGTGTGGATAGAAACTTTTGTAGCCGACTGGCAAAAGTCTAACATGAAATTGCATGGTTAAAATTCATGGGTTCTGTCAGTTCTACCACATCGTGATAAATACATTGGATTTGCGCAGGGTAATTTGTGACGTATATATAGAATGCAAATTTTCCATTTGACATGTCAGTGCCGATATGGAAAAGAAAAACATGTTTGTCTCCATCTCTGATAGTTTCATGACTTTTAAGCTATCTATATATGGATGGTTTTCTATTTTCATTTAAAAATGATTGTCCAGTCAGAAAAGATAATGTCTTTCTCTTCCCTGATCACAGTGCCTTCTCATCGCACGATAGAGACCAAAGGAATTCCTACAACTACAACCTACAACTTGCGAATATGCGTTCAGTGCGTGACAATGCGAGACAGTGCAGGGTCACTTAATATTTTGTGGGATGGCGCGTCTTCATCATCTCGAGATTTCCAAATAACCCGCTATTTCTGATTTGGGAAATAACCCCGAAGTTACAAATCGCGTCTTCATCAGCTCGAGATTCGACATCGAAACTTGAAACTCGACCTTGAGAAACTAGCTCGAGATATTTTGCTCAGCGTTCGCGCATAGTACGAGTCTTCCGTCTGTTGAAGACGCACCGTACAAATAGCTGGACATTTTGCCAAATAGTGGAATATTTTGCAAACTATCTTAAGATATCTTGGGATGACAATCCCGACCAAATATCCCGCTAATTGCAACTTCGGGCAGATGAAGCTGAATAGTTTGTGATCGGGATCGTTCAAATGGCGGGATATTTGGCAATCTCGAGCTAGTGAAGCAGGCCTACTGCCCGCATCATGCCTGTCAAGTCATGCCATTTGAGGCATTCATGTAGCTTGGTCATCAATGTATTTTGTATATATTGTCGTGCCGTTATTACCGACATCCTGGGCGCGCCATGGCACGAGTGCCACACAACATTGAAGGAAAAATTAAGAAAAGTCTATGTACCGTCATAATACTGGCACACATTGGCATGCTTTGTCACGTAATAGTTGCGCTAGGTTTGCCCACAATTCAAAAATTGTTCACGAAAGTGGACTGAAAATTAACTCGTGACCAATTTTTCGAAAATGTCTCAATTCGCACTTTTTCATCTAACGGGCACCCTACTTCTGTCCTCGTCCCGCTTGTGAATGATTTTTTTTTATCGTAGAATGATAAGTGAAGGTCCTGGATTAGGTAGGCCTATATGCAACCAATTCCTGCGGGACCCGGGCCTCCTCCCCTAGCAAGAGGGATGTTGAGTTAACCAAAAATAGTGGGCACTCTCCATCCTCCCTCCTCGTTGAGCACAACAAAAATTAAAAATAATAAGTGCTAACTACCAACCCCCCCCTCCCCCCAGCTGAGCGAAATATCGACCGGCACGATTTTCAAATTTTCGGGGGCCAAAACAAAAAAAATAGTGCTTACAACTGATTTCCTTTGATCTCTCTTCTTTTCATTTTTCTTATTTTTTTCTTCGGTCATATATCTTTTCCCTTGCGTTCTCATTTTTCCTTTCTGATCCTAATGTTCATCTTGTCTACTTATTCCCTCGTTAGGGAGGACGTTTAAGACCCCAAAACATAACGCAAGCGCAAATGATGAAACATGAGGTAGAAGACCTGGGCAGCATTTCGCGAAATCCGTCATAGGTATACAATTTTGCCGACATCACGTAGAGACTCGTGCATTAAATTAACATTCATTTTGACAGGATGTCAGCAAAGTTGTACTTATGACGGTTTCATGAAACAATTCCCTGTTATTCTAATGTGTCTCCCAAGAAAATTTCCTGATGCAGTATTCTATTCGCGGTTATAAATAATAGTAACCATAATGGGTTTTGGATAAGCTGTGTGCCAGTAATTGGGCAGTTCAGAGCAATTTGGGTTCAAGAAAGAAAAAAATCAATACATTAGTTAACTTGCTGTACACGTTGCAGTCCATTTTACATGTGGATATCTAAAGCTCCCTATCCACGTTGTAAACAAAAATGACTTGATAATTTAAAAAATATATATTTTAATTTATATTGGCGTATTGGCGTTCTGTTCTTACTCTCAACCCCGCAGGTCTTTACTACATGCAATACTGAGCTTCATAAGAAATCTTGAATTTAAGCAACAGTTGTTGCCCTTAATGCTCAGACACGTCTTGTGCAAATCTGGTTCTTGGCTGGAGATCTGCATATCAACATTTAAATATTGTATCAAGATACCTGTGTAATCACCCGAAGATACAAATGAGGAATTAATACATCTTTTCGCGAGATTGATCCCAATGGTCCGAATTTCTAAACCCAACAAAAGCTCAACAATTCCTTTTCTTTGGTTTCTAGTTGAATCTTCATGATAATTAATAATAAATAAATGGCAAGATGAAGAGATAAAGCAGAAATAACCACTGGAAGAGCAATAATTCGATTCAGATTTATTTAGAATAATCAAAGGTTTTGCCCTTTACAAAAGCCTTACATAATTGAATGCTACTCGAAGAGGGAAAATATCCTTATCTCGAAAGTAAAAATGCCATGTCGAATTCGAATGGTAATGGAGTCAGACCAGTCGTGCAACAGATCTCTTCTTACCAATGTATGTACATGTAATTAATTCAATGGTGAGCAACACAATTTTCCAACACTAAAATGAAATTTATACCACAACAAAGTGATATTTTCCCACCGTTCGAGTCACTTCACGAAAAAATGATAAAACTGGATATTTCCTGGCAACAATATGACCGAATATATTTTTTGATTATTGTATCTAGTGTATATTGATGACTAAATAAAAAATTTGCCATAATACAAGTGCAATTTTCCCGCTTGCTCACTTAGCCAGCTCGCAATGGTTGAGAACTGGATGAAGAAAAAAAATCGTAGGTCATTGTACACGATGGATGGAAAACAAATCCTCTTTGATGAAGTTTGGATTGAGGTGACGCGAAACTTTTTAACTATGAGAAGGGTACTGTAATAAATCAAATTCATTTACAGGAGATTCATTTTGTATGACAGTGACACTCATCCCCGGCGAGGGAGCGAAGCGACCAAGCAAAAAATAATGTCACTTAATATGATAAAATTTACTTTATAATCAACAAACTAGATGAAATATGAAATTAAATATGCAGAAAACTCGCTGCCGAAAACAAAAAAACAAAATTCATTATGGGTGGTCAGTTCTATGCAAGAATATAAGCAAATTTTTGTTGCACAATATAATCCCGTTTCTAAATGTTGCGACCGAGTGAAAGGTACGGATGTGGTATAAAAATGCAATTTTGATATAAAATATATAATTCATATTCAGGCACCTCGCTGACAAATAAAAGGATTTTCGAGGACCTCGTTGCTCAAATATGGAGGTACTCAGACACTTCGCTGCATAAAATCATCACGTTTCTAAAGGTTGCGAGTGAGCAAAGCGAGCGAGCAAGAAAGACACTTTATTATCTATACTTTTATTTCCTCATGAAGCTACATACTTAAGCAGTT